GTACAAGAGAGACATGGCACTACTGCAGAGAGTCCAGCGGAGGGCTACAAAGATGATGAGGGGACTGGAGCCCCTCTCCTCTGAAGAAAGACTGCAAGAGCCGGGCCTGTTGAGCCTGAAGAAGAGAAGACTGAGAGGCGATCTCATCAACGTCTACAAGTATCTGAAGGGAGGACATCAAGAGGATGGGGCCAGACTCTTCTGTGTGGTGCCCAGTGACAGGACAAGAGGCAACAGGCACCAACGGCAACACAGGAAGTTCCATCTGAACAGGAGGAGAAAATTCTTCACTGTGAGGGTGACAGAGCACTGGAACAGGTTGCCCAGAGAGGTAGTGGAGTCTCCTTCCCTGGAGATATTCCAAAGCCGTCTGGACGTGATCCTGGGCAACATGCTCTAGGTGACCCTGCTTGAGCAGGGGGGTTGGACTAGGTGATCTCCAGAGGTCCCTTCCAACCTTGGCCATACTGTGATTCTGTAATTCTCTATCATGTTAGGCACTACAAATGCTTCCAACAAGAGACAAGCCCTGTTCCAAGAGCTTACAGCCAAAGTAGAAAAGCTAGATATAGCATGGTAGAGTTGTTCCGCTCCACAAGAAGGGACATGAAGTACAGGAAGACCAAATGACTTCTTCAAAAGTGCAGCAATATCATAAACTGAAACCTCATTTAATTTCAGTGCATTCACTTCAAGCTGCCTTTGAAATAATGTCATCTTTTTTGAATTTTGTTCAGTACTCTTAAGACCTGGACACAATTATGCATATAGACTGGACAACTAAAATAGGACAAATTTAGTCAGTCTGAACTTCGTCAACTATCATTTCCTGCTCTTTTGTCAATTGATATTATCCACTGCTATTCTCTGCTGTTTTGGTATCACTTTCAGGTTTCTTTTTTTTTTTTTTTTCCTGCGCAACATGTTCTAGGTGACCCTACACGTACACGGCGGTTGGACTAGATGATCTCCAGAGGTCCCTTCCAACCTCAACCATTCTGTGATTCTGTGATATTAAACAAAAGATAATTCTCTCCTTTTGAAAAAGGCTTCCCAAACAGGATTTTCACATTTGGGCCCCAAAATGATGGGTGAAAACGCTGACATCTTATGTCATCAATGTAGTAAACTACATCCTACCTGGACTTTTGCACGTATCTATGCTGTGATTCTGCTGTCTGCTCCATTCTGGAACTCCAGAAGGAAACTTCTTATAAATGTCAAGAAACAGGCAGCTTGAAACAGGCAGGCTAGACAGCATAATGCACATGCCTTTGACAGACCCAGCATTCCTAATAAGGTTCTAAGGTCAAGATTTCAGCTGCAATATGATTACTGTTTAATTCAAACTGATATGGAAGACTACTGGGGGGCATTTACATAGTAAACACACATCCTATGAAGGGAGAGCACCTGCTACAATAATCTACTTCCCCATATTTTTCAAAAACTGGATCTGTTTACAATTTATCTGCAAGATCACACAGCACTGCTATAACATGTATGAAAAATGACAATAAAAAAGGCTTAAAATGGTAATAAAGACTGGATTTTCAAAATGAATTCAACATTCTATCTGTCACTTTGACAAATGGCTCTGTTTGATTTAATTCTATTGCTATTTTGAAACCTTTTCATTATTTTCTTTTGTTCAATTTAGAATGATCTTCCTCTCCTTTTTTAAGGATCTTAAAAAATCAAAGCCGGAAACAGAAGAAAAAGGTTTATTACTGTTTTCATTCCAAGTAAGATGATGTTGGCTTCCTCCTACTTTCATCCTCCCCTAGCCAGCTGCTTTGTCACTTCTGATGTAAATCGTATAGCTGCAACTTCCTGTGGCAGTTGCAAATGATCATGTCACTAGTCTATCTGGTCTGCAAAATGCTGTGATGAGGCCTGCACTGATATTCCACATGCTACAAGTAATATTCTGTGCATCACAGCAATATTGGATACTTTAAAGTCAAAAATTGTTTTAAGAATAGTCCCCTGAACATTCCTTAGAGATTTCATTTACAAATCTCTCAGCAACTTCCGTAGGCATTTTGTCTGATTTAAGGCTCCTTTTTCAGTAACATATTGCTCTAACCCAGTAAATGTGTTTCCTGCAGACATCCAAGCTAGGCTTTGCAGGCTACCCTTACAATCAATGAGAGGAAACGTGTTCTAAAGGACTTTTCATCTATGAAATTCATCTACCTAGATGAATTTTTAAGGTATTTATTTCAGAAGGCATCCTAGAAGCATTCATTTCTCTGTTGCCTATAAATGAAAGCCTAGGAAGTCTAACTCAGATATAGATATAGTACATCCAAAGTTAAGCGAGATGAATCTCACCAGAAGAGTTTCAAACATTGTAACTTGCCTCATTCTACATCCGAGTTCAGCAGAAAAGCTGCAACTCTTAGTCTGCCCTCAAATGTCCATGATCCCCTTCTCATGGTACTCTACTCATCAGGTTCACCAGAATATCTTCAGGTATCATAAATCTTTATAGTAGCTCAGACAATAAAGAAAATTACACTAATCCAGAATTTCAGCAATCTTTTCACTGAAAGCTTCTTTTATTTCTCAGGCTTTGGCACTTCCAGATTTCTGATCCTTTGGCTTTTGATAATACTACTTATATTTGATCTATATCTATAATATGCATGCCCAGCAAGAGGACAAGAGGCAACGGGCAGAAACTGAACCACAGGAAGTTCCATCTGAACCTGAGAAAAAACTTCTTCACTGTGAGGGTGACTGAGCATTGGAACAGGTTGCCCAGAGAGGTAGTGGAGTCTCCTTCGCTGGAGATATTCAAAACCCGTCTGGATGTGATCCTGGGCAACATGCTCTAGGTGACCCTGCTTGACCAGGGAGGTTGGACTAGATGATCTCCAGAGGTCCCTTCCAACCTAAACGATTCTGTGATTCTGTAATATAAAAGACCTGAAAGATTCTAGGATTTTTCCTCTCATCTTGTTTCCCTGCATCTCAGTTTGAACTGCTAATCTTGCTGAAAGACATGCAGGGTAACTGCAGAAACAGTAGGCTCATGATATTGACCGTGCTTCAAAAATATGCCAAATTCAACACAAGATATAAGTGCAAAGAGCTCACAATCTAAAGATGATATAAGACCAGGGAAAAGTCAGCAAACACAAACAGAAGAGGCAGAGTAATGCCCAGCAAAGGTTTCATTGGCCATTTTCTAGGGCAGGATTTGGAAGCACGTTTTACAACTACCTTACTCCAGTCCAGAAATTTGCCTAGATCCGAGCTATTATACGTCTTCTACCTTTCCCAAACCTCTCAGCAAAATTCACCTGTTGTTCATGGACCTCTCCCAACATTAATCAACATAGCAAAGAAATCCCATTCATACACTTTTCCATCTTCCCAGGAAAAGCTATTCTAACCTATTCTGGTTCTCATTTAAAACCAAACAAAAATTAAAGGGTTTTATTCAATTCAATGATATAGATTTTCCACCTGAGAAAGGAAAGGCTGTCAAGTATACTCAAAAGACACAATAATAAAAATATTGATTCAATATATGAGTATGTGAGGCCTCAATGGTTTTATATTGTTAACTTTTTAGGCCCAGGAATGAAATTTGTCACTTTTCAGTAACCTTTTTTATTATTTCAAAATGGTCTATCAACTTCCTATCAAGAAGAACTACTAACTTATCAATCCTTTCAATTAAATGGATTACTGAACTGAAAAGGGTACACAGTCCTATTCTACATCGTGCTACTGAGGAAATACAATGGAAATGAGATACATTTGCAGTGAATTAAAACTTAGTGCTTTACAGAATCATGGAACAGATGAGCTTGGAAGGGTCCTCTGAAGATTAAAGCACGGTCAGCTAGAGCAGGTTGTGTAGGACCACATACTTTGAATATCTCCAAGGATGAAGACTTCACCACCTCTCTGGGCAACCTGCTCCAATATTTGATCATCCTCAGAGGAAAAAAGTTTACGTTTAAATGGAATATCCTACACTTCAGTTTGTGTCCACTGCCTCTTGTCCCCTCACTGGGCACCACGGAGAAGAGTCTAGCTTCTCTCCTTTACTACCCGCCAATCACGTATTTATAAATATTGATAAGATCCCCGTAAGCCTGCTCCTCCCCACGCTGAACAGTCCCAGCTCTCTCGGTCTCTCCTCACATGTTGGATGCTCCAGTCCCTTAATCATCTTCAAGGCCCTTCGTTAAGGGTCACTCCAGCAGGTTCACGCCTCTCTTGCACAGGGTAAGCGCAGAACTGGACACAGCACTCCAGGCGTAGCCTCACCAGCACTGAGAAGAGGCGGGGGGCGGGGGGGGGGACGAGAGACCTGCTGGAAATGCTCTGCCTAATGCAGCCCAGGATAATACTGGCATTCTTGCTACAAGGATGCACTTCTGGCCAACGCTCACCTTGGCATCCACCAACATCCCAAGATCCTCTCTGCAGGGCTGCTCACCAGCAGGTCCAACCCCCAGCCTGTGCTGGTGCATGGGATTATTCTTCCCTACGTGCAGACTTTGCATTTCCTCATGTTGAATTTCATGAGGTTTCTGTCAGGCCACTTCTCTAGCCTGTCAAGGTTCCTCCAACCTCGACTCAAACAGCTGGGAAATACTCAAAAACAAATAAATAAACAAAAAAAAGACTCAAATTCCTGTGAGGTAGTAACTACATTTGTACCCAAGATTCTAAAATGAAACAGGTTCCTGCCTATGTCTTAACTTGGGCAGTAAAGCAGCAGGTCACATGGATCTTCAGACTCTAAGGGCATGAGCCCAGGTTCAGACTCAGTTCTCACAGGCCTTACAGACATATTTACCACCAACATTAAGATACGATCATTGTTTCTACTGATGCAAGGGTTTAAAGTTTAAGAACAGAACGACTTAGCAGTTCCCAATACCATTGATAGGGTACATATCAGTAGGTCAATTATTTCAATAGCAGTTCTATTCAACCAGCACGCCCTCAGGAATTGCAGTACATTAACTTACCCGTTGAGCTCTCTCTTTTAACTCCTGATCTTGGGCTAAAAAAGCCTGCATCCTCTTTTGAATGTCTGTAAGTTTTTCAGGGTTGATTCTAATAAATAAAAAGAGGAAAACTAGCTTTAATTATTAGAATATGCACAAAGAAGCCCCTGCTAAGTTCTCAGGAGTATCTTCATTTCCTCTACACTGTTTTAATACGCATAAAACTATCACTTCTCTGAACAAGGTTAGACTGGAACCATATTCAGGATGAAGAGTACACTCCTCGAATGAATAATACAGAGGAGACAAACAAAAAGCTCAGAATTTTTATCCAGAGCAAGTTTTCGGTGAGAGAGGTGAAACTTTTTCCAAAGTAAAGTCATAATTAACATTAAAATACTTCCCGAACTCATAAAATGTTGAGAAAGAAATTAAAAAGCATAATGAATTATAGCAGCCTTCATAAGGAAATCTCTCAGCATTTTTCAGAGTTTAAAGATCCATTGCCTGGCAGCATTGAAATTAAAGTACTTCTCTGTTACGTTCAGATGAGTAAAAGTAAAGGATGTGGAGATTAAACAGATTTTGGAGTTCCTCAAGATATTGATCCAGTGAATAAGTAAAAGTTGTCGTATTACAGAAAATGCCATTAAACCTAGTAAAAACTTATGAAAGTCCTTTCTCAAATTCTGTATTTTTATACTTATTCCGGTGACATTTGCATTTTTCCAGGTTTAATTGCCTGGGTCTTTTCTCACCTACTTCTGTCTCCTATCTGCTAGTGCCATCCAAACATATCATACAACCTTCCAAACATGGTAGGAAAGTACCCCTCAAGCAAAGGTCAAAACAGATGCACAACTACCAAATTTCTTAATCTAGTTCTTGCTGTTGCATGTCATGTCATCTCATAACATACAAAAAAGGATGCAGTCTTTGCTAAAAGACGACAATAAAATCAAAATCAGAGCTCTTCACCTTGCACTAAGTTAGTCTAGAAAACATGACTAATTAAAATGCTAGATGAGAAACATTACATAGTCATTTCTTGTAATGTAAGCCATTAGGATGATCTAAATTTGTTTCCAAATTTGAAAGCACCAATTAAGCAGGGGGTTTTGTTACCAAAGAATGCTTTAATTTACAAAGACATCAAGCTTTATTCCCTCACTATTTAAATTTCATAACTGTCAGATACAGGTGTTAGAAGGCTGTAGTGCAGGCAAGAGTTATTTAGCTTCAGTTTAGTCAAAGACCAAATACCGACTTCCAGTTTCGAGCAAACATATAATTTGCTCTGAATATATAAAAATATAAAAAAAAAAAAGGACACAGACTGACCAACAAATCTTCTTTGGAATGCATATATGACATCAAAGGTAGAAAAAGTAAACAGAGAGGAAGATTTTCTAGATTTTATTCTACCAAAGATCGAAAAAGATAACAGCAGTTAAGAAGAGTGGCAATGAAAATATTTATGATCCTAACACGAAAAATGGTAGAACAGCAAGATAAATGCAATGACTTAATTAATATTGAATAATATTAAAAGTATAAACACAAAATATACTACCTCACTGCAGAGGAAATACAGAAAGAAGAGTAAAAACTCCAGCTAGATGAAATCAATAGCTTTACAATCACTTGAAACTCAAGAAGAAATCTTAAAGTCGAACTGAAGACAAGTATAAGAAATAGCATGAATACACTAAGAAACACAGGCACAAAATGAGATACAAAGAACAAAGGACAACACAAATAACAAAGAGCATTTAAAACTAACACTGGTGGTAAGATGGCCCAGGAAATTGCTGGACTGCTGTTAAGTTATGAGGAAAGTAGTAAGAGATGACATCAAAACACTTAAATTATTCAGAGCCTTTTTTCCCTTGTCTTCACTGAAAGTAGCAGCTGCAATCAGACAGCTAGCTACAGCAGCTACACCACCGTCCAAGCTCACACCAGAATAGGAAATCACGAGGTAACAGGTACTTAGATAATCAGGTGGGCCAAAAGAAATTTGCTCCCTAGCAACTACAAAATAAGCCAGGATACTTTGAGATATAGTTGTATTTATTTTTGAGAACTCATCTGATGACGATCTGATGATTCCATGAGATAGAACAGGTAAACGCAGTATTCATTTTCAAAGGGGGGAAAAGAAGAGTTAAACAATTATAACAGTTTTCTTAATACTGAAAAAGCAATTTGTAAGTACCTAAAAAAAAAAAAAAGTGGATACGTACCAGCCAACATAGCTCACTGAGAAGCAAAGCATAACTACCCTTCATAGTAGGATAACAAGTTTTAAGAATAGGAAGAAACAGCAGATGTCATATCTTGATCTCAACAAAACATCTGGCAGTCTCACATTCATTCTCATAAATAAGCAAGGGAAACAGTCTACATGAAATCTCTAAGTGAATGCAAAACTGGTCTTAGAGCTGTACTCAAAGTCTAGTCACAACTGACTCACTGTCAAACAAAGCACACAGCAACCTCCAGTTCTCACCTGTGCCCACTGCTACTCATTATTTTCTACAATGGCTTGAATATTGTAAGAATGTGATTAAATATTTACAGGAGACCATATGTCAGTGGGGCTCCAAGCATAATGGAAAACAAATTTAGACAAGATACAACAACATTTGTTGCCTACGCATAGATTTAGCTTAATTTTGTTGAAATCTGCAATAAAAGGCTTTGAAAAAGATACAAAATATTTACAGTTAAAAGCAAGGCAAGACACTGATGTAACTCTAATACTATGTTAACAGATAGGGTTTGGTGCCTTGAGTGCAATCTGAGGTTACGCATCTATTAATGAATGGATACATTTGCAAACTGGAATATTCAAAAAAGTCACAATACTGGATTCTTCTCGCTTCAGTATTATATCATGACACCCATCCTCTATCTTCTTTGTCGCATGCTGGGATTCCAAAAAAATGGGAAACTTGGTCATCGTTAAAATGGATTGTTTTAATAGGGAGTTTGCATGTTTCTTTCCGAATGAATACAGCTCCCTGCACTAATTTTGTGCATGTGACTACTCGAAGAGACAAACTTAATAAATCTAAAAACTTAAATCATTATCATAATTTATAAACTTGCTTAAACAGTTAAGAGTAAGCAAGCTAAAGCAAACTACAGAAAAAAAAAGAGGCGGATTTGATGATACAGTCTGTCCTTCTAGCTAGGTTGTTTCTTTCTTTTCTTGCTCTGTGTATACACATTTTGCATTTACAGAACGGCACTGTTCCGCCTAGCAGTTGCATAAATGGCCACATCTGATTGTGCCACGATGTAAACATGAACTCTGCTTGCTTGGTCTTACGAACCGATCAGGTGTATCTGCTCTGCAAGTTTGCTGGTCGATACACGCTCTGTGTATTCCCGTTTTCAATATCAGAATGCAAGCACTGCTTTAACCAGACACACTCCCCCATCCTCTCCAAAGTGGAATTAAAAAGAAAAAGGGAAAAAAGGCATCAACAAAGAACAACACCCTGCCAAAATCGTACCCTAACACAGTGTGCTTTCCCTTTATCAGTCACTGGCTTAAAAATACTTTGCCTTACATGCAGCTGTTCAAACATGATCAGCACAGCAAAGCACACAAAAGGCTTCAGCAGTTTCTAACCCATGGGAACATGCCTGCACTTTTCTTTTTTAAACATAACTTCCGAAAAGAAATAGGTATTGCATTAATAATACACGCCATTACACTTTCAAGCACATAAAATACATAGTTAGCTGCAGCACATGGAAGTTGCACGTTTTAAATTTTTATTCATATTTCAAAGGCCTTTAAAGAGTGAATCTCCTGGTACCACTTCATTTTTAGAGAACATCAGAAAAAGATAAATTGCATAATGCACTATATTACAGAGCGTAGCTTGCTATTGAATAACAATTTCATAGGAAAAACAGCACATAGAGTCCTCTCTGCTTTCACAAGAGGTAAGCTCTTCATAGGCTTCCTTAGAGGAGGGATAAAACTTGCAGAGGACGTACGATTCAGAAATTCCAGCACATCATGGAGATGCACTGGGAGTAAGACAGGTATCCTAGCAAATTCCAGCTTTAGCTCTTTTTCTCCTGTAATTATAGCAGCAAGTAATGTTTAAGAATGCTTGTAAGCATTCTTAAGAAATCAGGCAAGAATCCTCATTTCACGCGTATACAATATAGCTAGAG